GGGGGAAACGCTCGGGGGGGGTGTCCCTCATAGCCAGCACCCGTCACCAGCATTGTAAGGGGCAGTGAGGCTGCAGTGGTGGCAGTCCCTCTGAGGAGCCCCGTCCCTTTGCAGGTAAAGAGGAAGCTGAACTTGGAAACGGATCACCAGTACATAGCAGAGAGCCTGCCGGTGGGCCGGGGCAAGGCCAGGAACCCTGCTAAAGGTACCAGCCCCACTCCCCCTGGCCTCCTCCAAGCCAGCTCAGCCCAGAGCAGGGAGTCCAGCAGCCCTGCTCTGCTGCCCACAGGCTGGGCTGTGCCTCCAGTCTCCTGCCTGGCTGCTTCTCCACATCCCTTTGCATTGATTTCGAGAGGCTGTTCCTGGGGCTGGGCTGTTTGTGGCCATCCCCTGAGCTAGTGGCACAGTTGTCCTGCCCATCTGCTTGGCACTACATAGGCTCCATTCATCCCTATGGGATGGAGCTGTAGCCACCAGCAGCGTCCCAGATGGACCCTCCATCATCTCCCCCCTGAGCCCTTCCTGGCCCCTTGGTGTCACAACTTGAACATGGATGTCAGAGTATGTAGTATATGGGGAGCTCACCTCATTGCCCTGGGAAAGCAGAATGGTTTTGGGGTGCTGGTCCTGATCCACAAGCCACTTGTGAGCATGATGGGGTGTTCTGAGACATGTCAGCTCCAGTGCTGGGTTTCCTTTGTGGCTAAATCACCCTTGTCCTTGGTGTCTGGCAGGGGCAAAGTCTCCTGGGGAGAAGTCCCGCTACGAAACCTCGCTGAACCTCACCACCAAGCGCTTTCTGGAGCTGCTGAGCCAGTCTCCTGATGGCGTGGTGGACCTCAACTGGGCAGCCGAGGTCCTGAAGGTGCAGAAGAGGCGCATATACGACATCACCAACGTCTTGGAGGGCATCCACCTCATCACCAAGAAGTCCAAGAACAACATCCAGTGGCTGTATGTCCCTGGGCCGGGCTTGTGGGGCTGTGCCAGGCTGTCCTCTGGGAAGAGAAAGGGTCTTGGTGGGTGGTGTCACTGGAGCATCTGCTCAGGGGTTGAGTGACTCCTCATTCGTGTGGTCCATGACCCTGGCTGAGGGTTGTGCTTGATCACAGGTGGCTCCCAGGCATCCCTGTGCCTGCTGCAAGTTCCCCTTGAGCTCCCTGAGCCAACCCAGGGAGTGGGGTCTGCATTTGGACTCAGGGAGAGGGCTCCAGGGCTGTCTGTGCCCTCTTGGAAAATCCCCACAGAGCCCATTCCCTGAGTATAGAGTGGAATTTAGCCTGACCCCAGTGGGGACAGTGCATGGGGATGGCCATGGTGTGGAGCAGAGGGAGCTGTGGGGTTTGGCTCATGACAGCCGTGGTGTTCCCCAGGGGCAGCCAGGCCACTGTGGGGGCTCCCAGCCGGCACCCGCGGGGGGCGGAGCTGGGGGAGCTGCAGGCGGCCGAGCGGCAGCTGGACGACCTCATCCAGACCTGCATGGTGCAGCTGCGCCTGCTCACCGAGGACCCCGCCAACCAGCAATATCCTTTGGTGTGGGGCCGGGATGGGGCTGACTGGGTTGGGGGGCACATGGTGAGCCACATTGCAGGCAGGGCGTTTCACCCGCCGCATGAGAACATCCCCGTATCTGTTCCTTGACTCGTTGCACCGCAGCCTACGTGACCTGCCAGGATCTCCGCAGCATTGTGGACCCCTCGGAGCAAATGGTGATGGTTGTCAAAGCTCCCCCCGAGACCCAGCTGCAGGTTTCGGACCCGGCAGAGGTGAGCTGGGGCCACCCCTCTTCTCCCCACATCTCCCTGGGCATCCTTGCACCTCCTCATCTCACTCCTCTCCCCTTTCCCCAGGCTTTCCAGGTCTCCGTGAGAAGCACTCAGGGCCCCATCGACGTCTTCCTCTGCCCTGAGGACAGCTCGGGTGTCTGTAGCCCTGTCAAGAGCCCCTTTAAAGCCTCCGCAGAGGAGTCGTCCCCCAGCCATTCACAGCCCACAGCCTCCCCACTCCTGCATCCCGCCCAGGATGTGAACATGCCCCTGCTTCCTGGAGAGCAAGGTGGGGGACCAGGGTCGGGGACAGGGGGGAGCTGGGGACAAGGGTCTGGTGTGATGGCACGGGGGCTCTGGCTGGGGTGTCTTGCTGTGGTTGCAGCTGTGAGCCCCTCTGCTGTCAGCACAGGCAAAGAACTAGGGTGATGCTCCAGCACCTCAGCAAAGCAGGGAGGGGAAGAGACGGGTTTTTTTGCAAGCGTTACGGGATTTACAGCTGCTTCCCATCCCCGCAGAGACACTGCTGCCAGGAACGAGCGCGCTGCCCGGCAAGTGCCCGACAGAGGAGGTGAGCCTCTCACCCCTGGCCTCCATGGACGCCCTCCTGGAGCAGAGCAGGGAGGATTTTTCGGGTTTCTTGGCGGACGAGTTCATCAACCTGTCGCCACCGCAAACGCAAGATTACCACTTCGGGCTGGAGGAGGGCGAGGGCATCAGCGAGCTTTTCGACTGCGACTTCGGGGACTTCACACCCTTGGACTTCTGAGGCTTTGCCTGGGTGCCATGCAGGGAGGGTCACCCCATGGCTCCTGCCCTCGCAGGCAGGGGGGACAGGGCAGGCAGCTCCTCTCCCCATCCCTTTTTTTTTTGCAATATTTTCTTCTTACCCCTCCGGCCTGGCAGGGGCTGGTGGCTTCCCTGGCTTTAGCCCCATGACAGGGGTGCCAGGGTGGGGGTCCCATCTCAGGGGACACCCCCCACAGGGCCCTAATCACAGGGAGCCATTGCTCCCCAGCCCAGGTGCCCGTTACAGAGCTTTAAGCAGTCCTGTGTATAGATTTGATTAATTTATTATTGTCCCCTGGGGACTGTGTTTAATTTCCCTGGGGTGGGGTGGGGGGGCCGTGCAGCAGAGTGGGGATGCTGAGAAGTTTTGTCATGCTGGGAAGTGGGTGGCAGAGGCGTAGGGGGTGCCAGGTCGGGGCTGTCCCCCCTGTGTAGGGGGTGCTGCCTGCAGCCTGGCTGAGCATGGGGTATTTATTTATTATTTATGGCGTATGGGGGCTCTCCCGAGACACAGGGGGGGCAGGAGAGGGACACAGAATGTCCCGCCAGGGGCTCGCTGGCACGTCCCAGCTTTGCAAGCAAAATAACAGGGCTGCTGGTGAGGCCGCCATGGTGGCAGGTGGCTGCGGGAGGGGGGACAGGGCCGCATGGGGCTGGTGGCCTCAGAACCGTGTGTGTGGTGCCTGGGGGTGGGACACG